AGTGTTACAAGGCCAAAGCAACAACAGAAGGACAGAGCACAAGAAGATGGGAGTCTTGGGAGGGTCTGGCAGCTTACCACACCCTCCATACACTACAGGCTGTGCACCCAAGCCTTCCCAAAAAGGGGAGGGAGTGGGCACTGAGCCTGGCCTCTTGGCCTTGATATTCCTCCTCAATTCCTAAGAGACTCACACCCAAGGCAGKGGAGCCCAGGGTACATGCAGGAGCCTGGAGGGGGAAAGGGGCACAGAATGGAAGCCATGGAGAGACCCCTCATGCACTAGGCCAGGATGCTGGGCAGCTGAGCTGGGCTCCAGATAAAGATTGATCCCAGCAATAAACAATAAAGTGGTTCCTTCTGGGGGGAGGCCTGACTCCCAAAGGGAACTACTCTCAACATCCCTTCCTGCCCTCACATCAGGGGATAGTAGGCCCAGATGCCCTGCTCACTTCAGCCTCTGTGATCTGCCTTCTCAACCTACAACTGGGCATGGGAGGCCCCACAAGATGCAGCTACAATAAACCAAGGCAGGGTCAGTGTTCCAGCACTGTCCAGGATGAAGGAGAAAAAGACACCATGCCACAGCAGTGGAAGAGACTGGGGAGACACCTAGAGCCRGTTGGCAGGGTAGGAGGCCCTCAGTGGGGCCAAGGTAGAGAGGCCACAGCAGGGGCAGTTAGGAATCACACCTGGCTGTCACAGGGAAACAGATGTGGCTTCCACAACAGCTTCACAAAGCACAAACAGCAACCTGCCTCAGTGGAAGGGAATGGGAACAGGCATGGGTTCCCTTTCCTKGTGACCTGGAGACAGCGAGTCTTTGAACATCCTGTGGGCTAAGGCCTAACCTGACACTAACCTKCCCCCTCAGAGCAGCACTGGTGCTCAAGTGCACATAGTGGTCCAGGCAGRGCCTTGGAAGCTCTGAAACCACAAACCTGGGTTTGAAGCCCAGCTCTCCTGCCTGCTGCAGTCCTGAGCAAATACCTCTGTGGCCAGAGTCTGTTCCCTGACTGTAAACCCAGTGTCCTCAGGCTCAACCCTCAGAGCCTACGTGACTGACACTCACAACCAGCTTAGGAGGTAAAGTGCTGAGCAGAGTAATGTGCTCCTTGAACCCATGCAAAGCTCAGGGAAGTGATGTGGACCTCTCACAGCAGACTCAGGGGCMAGCAGCAGAACTGAAGTACCCTGACCCAAGATTGCAGAACCCACTCACCTCAAGGATAAAAGGCAGCACTGGGATGAAGGTGCCGGTGCTCTCTGACAGCAGTGTTAAGGCACGCACACAGTGCATGCGCAGGGGGTAGAAGCGGGCAGTGGGGACCAGCCTGGGAGGGGCAAGGCAGGAAGGGACAGAAGCTACTTAAGTCATCACTCAACACCAATTTTGGCTACCCACTGCCTCTGAACCCCCAGGAGGGCCTTCCTGTCACTCCAGCCAGGTGAGGAGTCACAATGCCAACAGGAAGTAGCATCACATTCCCCCAAACAGAACAGGGTACCACAAAACACTTTGAACTTGGTACTGGTCTRAGCATCTGCTTCCTTGCTCAGCGATGGGATCGGAGAACACCCATGCAGCTTTCATATTCACTACACTTTAACATGGGTGGGGGCTGTTCATTCCTGGCTCCCTTTCTTCCCCATTCCCTGCTTTCAGGGCTCCCTCCCCTGGACTTCTACCTTCCCTCCTAGTCTAATCGCCAAAGCTCAGGAGGATGCTTTTCAGGACAAAGATGCCCCCTCCTGGTCAGACTGGCAAAAAGCACCTCACAAGAAACCAAAAAGGCCTTCACACTGTTGCTGGGCCTATTCAGCCCTCAGAGCACAGAGCACTCTGCAGCGAAATTGACTGCAAGCAGCCCTGCCCAACAGGGATTGCCAAGACCCAAAGACCCTGGACACAAAATTACTGGCCAAAAACTTTCCCGATGAACTCACTTGATGCAGCCAATGACCACCTGCGAGAGGGGATAGAGCAGAGGCTGGAGGGCTTCGCTGGAGCCAAGGGTACTCAAGACGCGGCACCACAAGTAGAGGCAGTGGACATACTGCCAGTTGTACACTGACTGGTACGTGTCCTGGACAGAGCAGAGTTTGCCTGACTGTCCAGCACCCAGGACAGTAGCCAAGTGTGCCCACCCATCACATCCACCAAGGTGCTAGGCCTGGATTCAAGGAGGCCCCCAGGCCCTCTGCTGGTCAGGCTCCCAAGTCTGGAGGGATGGCTGTGTGCACCTTTTTGCCCATAGTCATGGCACTGCGCAGGTGGATGGCGAGCTGGCGGATATAGAGGAAGGCGTGCTGGTAGGAGATGCTGGGATCCAGGGCAAGCAGCTCAGTCAATGTCCGTTGCATGAAGCTGATGAGGGGCAGAGTGCCTGGAGAGGTGAACTTGCAGTTCCTCACATACGTGATATACRTTTGCTGCCAGAGAGACTCCAGTCAGAGGCACCCCAACACCCACTACCTGGCTCCAAGCCATCTGCCAACACCTAGACATYTCTCTTGGAGCTGTTGCCTCAAGCAGGAACTACAGCCAAGCCAATGGCTGCAGACCCCCTTGCACAGACCCCCAACTCCTCAGGATTCTGATGCTGCTCATCCTCATGCATMTGCCTAAGTGTATGCTTGCCAGACTTACAGTCTAAGGTATGCAGAGGGACCCTGCAGGGAAGGTGTGTGGTGAGGGGTGCTGCACGCTGGGCCAGTATGAGGGTTTCAGAGGGTCCTTGCACACAGATGGGCCCCCCTAGGTCTGGAGTTGGACAGCAGGGTTTGGATGCTGGCTGTGACCTCAGACCTATTCTATTCTTCCTGTAGAAAGTTCTCATCCACTAACAAGATGTTCCCCCTTGGGGACGGTTATGTGAAGCAGAGTCGAGGTAGAGCCCAGAAGGCTGAGGGTTCCTGTGTCTGCAGGCACTCCGACATTCTTGGTGAGGAATGGGATCTGAGGACCTTAGTGTGCCCTGAGCCGTGATGCCAGGGCCCAGCTAAGGGCACTGACCACAAAGGTAGCCTGTTAGACCCTCAGGCTGATTCCCAAGACAGAACCTAATGGACAGATTCAGGGCCCACACTACCTTCAGGACAGGGCTCAGGAAGATGTCCTTCTTGTGCCGGCAGACTCTAATGAGGACCAGGAAAGCCAGCACCCGCAAAGACTCCTCACCCGTGCTCCATAGAACCACCATTCTCTGAAAAGGGAAGATGTCACTGTCTGCCCCAGCCTTCTCACCCAGGAACCCCTAGAGCCAGCACATGCCTCCCTAAGCCAAAAGCTCCTGTGTTACTGCTGGGAGACAGCCCTTCCCAAAACACATCAGGGGAAGCTGGTAGCAAAATAGTAAGAGGCACCAAAACACGGAACACAGTATGTCACGCCCTGTAGAGGCAAGACCGTGACAACTTGCCTTTACTATTAGGTGTGCGTGAGAATGTATAATGACTCCAGCTCTCAAAACTTGTTAGGACACAGATGCCTGAGTGCAACCTGTTCTCACATCACCGAGTTATGCTGGCCTGCCTGGGTCGGGGGATGCTCTAGATGAGGTACCCAGGTGGAGGAGGGCTGGAAAGGAGCTGGCCAGAAGCCAGTGTAGGTGCAGGTGACACTTCTGCCCTGAGCAGGAATGGGATGTATTTGTGGGGTGGCTGTGTGCACCACCAGCCACACCAACAGAGCGCGATGGGYCTGCTCACCTTGAGCAACATGCGACACTGCTTGGGGAAGGTTAGGTAGTAAGGCACAAGGCTGCTGATGTGCTGCAGGACAGCCGCTGACACGGTAGCTTCTGCCAGAGAGGTCACCAGCTAGGGAAGCAGAAGGGGGCTGTGAGGCACTATCAGTGAGTCTGAGGCACAAAAAACACTGGACCACCCAATATGGCAAGGGCCCTGCCTGTGAACTGGGCTTCCATGCTCCTTCCCCACAGGAACAGCACCTGCATGACTGCACTTAGGTATGCCTTGATGTCCACGCGGAGTCTCCCCCAGAGCGCACTGCTGGACGGCTGCAGCACCCTGCAGAAACCAAATCATCCCCATTCCTGCAGCTTAGACTCAAGGCTGCCTCAGTGAGTCTCAGACCATACCTTGCCCTGAGCAGGCTTCCCACCTCTTTCCACAAAAAGCTGAGGGGCTTTGTACATCTGACAGACACAGCTGCCCACAGCTGTCTGTCAGCTGTACAAAAAAGTAAAGCAGCACCAGCCCTTCCCACAGACCACCCACCCAGCCAAAGCAGAGCAACTGCCCTCTGAAATACTGAGTCCTATTCTTCCCAGAAGGGCCCAGTTGCATCCCTCATACACCAGCCTCCTCTGGGTTCCCTTGGCCCTGTCACACCACAACCTTCAGCAGCACTCAGGACCTTTGGGCCTAACCAGGCACCATTCATTGGTGCAGACTGGTGGCTCTGGCCCCTACGCACTGGAAGAAGACCCAACCATGCACATTCACAAACATTTTTTCCCTAAAACTCTGGAATCTTAAATCTTCTGGACTGAACATCTGACAACAAAAGCAGGGTTCCTGTAAGTTTCTCGATGTTCACAGAAATCGGCTAAACACACCAAGGACCAAGGGCAGGGCCCTGAGAGTTTTCCATTCAGCTCCCTTTTGGCATCTCAGTCAGCATCAGCTGTGGATCCCCTATTGCTGCTCCCCAAGGTCCAGCTGCATGGACCACTTGTCTTGTTGCCTGCTCATCTCACTGCTTTGTCCTCCACCCTCCTCGCCTGACCCCTTCGGTCTGCATTGCCTACACACACATGAACACTCTCATGCACTAGTGAAGGTACAACCCCTCATGATGCTGACAGCCCAGTGGAGCCTTTCTTTCAAAGGTGTCCCGACAGAAGTTGGATTTCCAAGCCCTGGGAAAATCTAAGATTAAAACCAAGCACTCGCTGGGCACAGTGGTGCACGCCTGTAATCCCAGCATCTCAGGAGGTGAAGGCAGGAGGATCATAAGTTCAAAGCCAACCTGAGCAATAGTAAGGCGTTAGGCAACTCAGTGAGACCCTGTCTCTAAATAAAATATAAATATAGGGCTGGGGATGTGGCTCAGTGGTTAAGCGCCCGAGTTCAATACCCAATACCAAAAAAAAAAAAAAAAACAAGCATACACCATGCTCTCAAGAAATCCTCAGCATAGAATTTCTTTTCTGGAAGAAAAAGGCAAGGAGTGGGGCCACCCCCAGTCAATGGCAAGAGTACATCCCCCAAAGGCCTCTTTTGCTCTTCCTTCTCAGGAACCCCCAAAGTCTGCCATGCCTATGTCCCCAAGGCCCTGGGGACAGTGTCCTCTCTTGCAGAGCAGAGCTCTGATCACCCCATTTCTCTCACCTGCTGGTATCCTTTGGGGCCTTTCCAAACAGCAGCTTATGTAGGTATCCAAAGAGATCTCTGATGCAGAAGGTGACCAGAGCATTGAACACTGTGAGGAAGGGACACAGATGTCACTCACAGGAGAGCAAGTAAGCCAGCCTGACCCGCCCTGTAGACCCTGCTCACCAGTGCTGTCTGTAACCTGAAACCTGCAGGCCTCAACACCTTCCTGGTCTCCTTGGGTGGTAGCAACAGCTGCTCTGAAGGCCTGCACCACTTCATGGAACAGCTTGGGAGTGAGGTGCTGAAGGAGCAAGAAACCAATAACTCTGGGGGAGCAGGAGGTTGCACAAGGCAGAGCAAGAGATAACTGACTCCAAGAACCTGCTCCTGAGAGAAAAGAGACCCTTCCCCACACCCTCAGAAATAGGGCAGAGGTAGGGGGCAGGGCCACTAAGCCATGTTCTGGCAACTAAAATAGAGACAAGTCTATAATCCTCCTGGAAAGGGAATGAGTCCAGCTCAGGAGCCCCAGGGGAAAAGGCTGAGAGTCCTGAGTTGGAGGAGCAAGCTTGCTGTCTCACCAGCCATGTGATGATGCTGCACCATGCTGTTGTACTTCCCACCTCCAGAACTGTGAGCCAAGTAAACACCTTTTCTTTCTTTTCCTTCCTTTCTTCCTCTTTCCCTCCCTCCTTCCCTTCCCTCCCCTTGCTCTTTCTTTCTTTCTTTTTTTCCTAGTGCTGGGGGATTGAACCCAGAGTCCATACATGCTAGGCAGGCACTCTATTACTGAGCTACATTCCTAGGACTAAATATCTTTTCTTTACGAACTATCTGTTGGCATCCCACTATAAGGCAAGAGAAACTACACCAAGATACACTTAACAGACACACCCACAATGGCTTTACTTCAGGGAGCAGAGCCCCTGAGAGAAAAGCTGAACTATGACTGAAGAATCCCAACCAGGGCACCGGAGCACTCTACACACGTGGACATTGTGTGCTGCTCAGAGAAGGGCTCTTCCCACCTGTACAGCCATGAGCACCTCAATGAGACAAGGGAGAGACTCCTGCCTGTGGTGGGGTCCAGCTGCTCAGACCACACTTCTTCTTCTCACCTTTGCAGACTGCTTCCATTTCTCCACCATGGCAAGGGTCACAGGAACAGACTCATTCTTCTTCCGCTGAGGTCCTCCAGGGACTCTGTCCTCATCCTCTCCTCCATCTTCTTCTTCGCTTGCTTCCTACACCAGATACAGAAGAGTCATGCTGGGGGAGGGTGTAAAAGCCACAGGTGCCCTGCTGGACAGGTCTGTGTTGTCCTCACCTCCAGTGCACCTGGCAAGGAGTGAAATTGCTCCTCTTCCTCCTCAGAGCTGTCTGAGTCACTAAAGTTTAGCAGGCTCTGGTCATTGTCTTGCAGGAACTTGTAGAATTCTGGATCTTTTTCCTTCAGACGAGAGAGCTGGTCCTTGTGCTCAGAGGCACTGCCTTTATGCCCACTGAGAAGGCAGGAGTCAGTAAGCCAGTGAAAAACCAGCAGGGGGTTGGCTTCTTGTCCATATAGCCACTTGTGGGCCTCCTCAGAGAGGCCACAGGGTTATTCTGCTCCCTGCCCAGCAGCCATCAACAACAAGCAGGAGGTTTCCCACAATGTTAAGTTTTCAGAAAACACAACTCTCTTCTGGACGCCTGTACCCAGAAGCCTCTCCCCAYTGTTTTAACCTCTAGCACACAGACACTCAACCTGTGCTCTCCCCAGACTTGCTGTGCTGGCACCAGGCTCTACTGCAGTCCCCACAAAAGACCTGTCCCTAGAACTCATCAACAACATCTTCAAAACCMCCAAAGTCTCCTGCAAACCACCACATCTCTCAACTCTCCATCACCATAATGGTCTCTCCATTCCCACCCTGGTCACCTATGATCCTTTTTGGCACAGAAACTGGAGTGACCTTTTYCCTTTTTTAAAAAATGTCACACGATGTTGCTTCACAGCTCCCGCTCTGAGGAAACGTCCCATGTTACTGGGTGATCTCACCTGATTCCTCATCACCCACCCTTCTGGGTGCATCTCCAACTACTTTCCCACTTCTCCTGCCAGTCACCCCTTCCTCATGGGTTCCCACTTCAAGACCTTCTCCGTCCCTGCGGTACGGTCCACACAGCCTACCGCTCCGGGCTGCCACTCAAACTCAGCTGGTCGCCCTCCCAAGGTGGGCCACTTGGCATCCGCTCTGTTACTGGGGTGAGCGCTCTTCTTCCGAGCTACCTGCCCAACCCTCTCTGTTTTGAGACAGCGGACTGATAAATGGCCCAGGCTGGCCTCAAACCGGGGCTCTCCTGCCTCTGCCTTCCCAGGGGCTGGGTCTGCAGGCGTGGAGCCGCCCGGCTCTCCGCTCCCTCCGGCCCCCCGCGCGCTACAGAGCGGTCCGCCCCGCACGGAGCCCTCCCGGGTCGGAAACGCCGCTCTGCGTCACCCGCCAGCGCCCGCCCCGCCCGAGGAAGGCTGGCACCGCGAGCCACCCGGGCGGCGCCGGCTTACCGGGCCGCGGGGCCCCTGCCGGGCTCCAGACGCCGCGCAGCTSCACGTCCGCGTGCCTCCCGCTCCCGCGTCGCCGCCTCCGGGGCGCCCTCGGACTCCGACTCGGACTCCGAGTCGAAGCCTGAGGCCAGGAATTCGTCCACCGTCAGCTCCGCCAGGCGCCTGCGGGTCACGGAGGGTCACCAGGCGCCAGCCCACGGGCCCCAGCCTTCGACCSGGGTGAGGGCAGCCCGGAGCACAGGCTCCCGCCAGGAATACAGCAGAGACTGACCTCCTGCGGCTCCTCGCCTCCGCCATGACGCCGAGCCCGCCGCGTGCGCCGCACTTCCGGCCCCAGAAAGCCGCGCGCTACCGCACGACCTCCGGGTCGGCCCCGCCCCCGGCCGAGCCCCGCCCTGTCGCTGGCTCTGCGATTCTCGACTGCGTAGCCGGTGGCTTCCAGGCGGGAGGGCGCGTTCGCACCCTCCTGGCCTCAGGTGGGTTCTGGCACGGCTCTGGCATTCATTCGCCCAACGCGGGCCGGGCCAGGTCAGAGCTCTGCGTCCTTCTCCGTGACACGCTGAAATAACAGCTCCCACCTGGGGAATCGAGGCCCTGTCCGCGGCCCACCCGTGCGTGTGCAGGGCGCTGACAACAGACAAAACGTGCGACAGTGGAGACTTCTATACTAAGAACACACAAACCAGTGACAAGCCAAGGGCCTAAAGGAGAAAACAATGAAAGCAGAAACCGAGGGGTTACAGAGAGACAGTCTGACAGGAATCAGAGCCTGCTGGGAGGCGGGACTGGCTTCGCCCGATGCGAGGTCGGAGCAAGAGCCCTGTGGCCATCTCGCTGGACGGTCAGCAGCCCCTGGCARCACCATCCACATTCCGTGCAGCGAGGTCCCACGGAAAACGCACCCGAGTGTCTGGCCAGGGGCCCGGGGCTGGGCGGAGAGGATGCATTCCTCCTTCCAGGCTGCGGGGTCCGCGGGCCTGGACGGCTGGACCAAATGGCCAGCGCACGGCCCCAGGCTTGACCCACCACAGCACAACCGGCAGGTGGCTGGCCATCTGGGGCCCGGAGCTTGTCCGCCTGGTGTAGTACGCGGGGCCCGAGGGCTATGAGAGGAATCGATCCGGTGACGCGACTCCGAGCTGACCCGTGTCCAACGCGGATCCTCGAAGCCTCCTCGGAGCGCGAGAGATGGGGCGGGCGGCGCCGAGAAACAGCGTCTGCAGCCSGGGAGGCGCGCGACGCTGAGGGGCCACCGCTGCCGAGCATCCTTCCAGCAGTCGCGCTCGCTCGTCCTGCGCGCTTCGCGGCGGCAGTTCGGTGGCCGAGCTGATGCAGCCGCGCGGCGAGCGCCCGGCCGGCAGGACGCAGAGCCCGGAGCACGGCAGCCCGGGGCCCGGGCCCGAGGCGCCGCCGCCGCAGCCGCAGCCGCAGCCGCCGGCGTGAGTGGGGCGGAGAGCGGGCGGCGCCGAGGACCCACGGAGGGACCGGGGACTCGGGAGGACGGCGTCGCCCGAGAGGCTGCCGCAGGCCTGGGCCGTGTGAAGTCCGAGCTCCTCGGTCCTTCGGCCACGGCAGCGGTTCTGGGAAGTCCTGAGTGCTGCGGGAGGGCCAGGGGTGCTGACCCCTGGAAAGAGAGGCCCTAAGCCCCTTGGCTGCCCTTGAATCCCTCCACAACGGGAGGTCCACCTGCTGTACGGGGCCAAGGGGTCTGCTTTAAAGCAGGCATTGGCCGGTTCCCTGCGTACACCTCCCACGTTCCCAGTACTGCTGAGGGATGGGAAGGGTGGCTGGCAAGGCAGGAGCCCTGTGCTGTAGAGGAGGGTAGAGGATAGCTGTCTCTCAAGGGGAACAAGAGATGAGTGAACTTAGTAGCTGAGAAGGGAGGTGGGCAGAGGAAGCTGGACAGTCAGGGCAGCAGTGTCCAGATGATCTCCAGTGGGAGTAGGCTTAGAAGAGAGTCTGGTCTGGCTCCAGGGTAGCTCTCTGTACAGGAGGRGAGGTCTTGCTCCAGGCGGGCAGCATGACTAGGTGGGCCTTGATGCAGACGTTATGGCCACTGGACTACTGGACAGATGGCTGACTTGGCTGCCCTGGCCATACCCAGAAGTCTGGTGGCACAGAGGAGGWGGGTGAGCAGCCCCCTACAGGGCTAACCCTGACCTGGCCCTGCCCACCTGCAGCCCAGAGGCAGAGCGAGCGCGGCCCAGGCAGGCCCGGCCCGCAGCCCCCATGGAAGGTGCCATGCAGCTACTGAGCCGCGAGGGCCACAGCGTGGCCCACAACTCCAAGCGGCACTACCATGATGCCTTCGTAGCCATGAGCCGAATGCGGCAGCGTGGCCTCCTGTGTGACATCGTCCTGCATGTGGCCGCCAAGGAGATCCGTGCACACAAGGTGGTGCTGGCCTCCTGTAGCCCCTACTTCCACGCCATGTTCACAAGCAAGTACCACAGTCTGGGTGGCACTTGGGGGCTCTCTGCAGCTCTCCCGGGACAGGTACCAGCCTGACTACTGTCCCCACAGATGAGATGAGTGAGAGCCGCCAGACTCATGTGACACTGCATGACATTGACCCTCAGGCCTTGGACCAACTGGTGCAGTTTGCATACACGGCTGAGATTGTAGTAGGCGAGGGCAACGTACAGGTGAGGCAGTGGGCCTCCTGCCAGGTCTCCCCATGCCCTGGCCCCTCACAGGCCTCTCCCCAAACCCTCCAGTTACTTTCACAGCCTGGGCACCTCCCACCAGACCCCATCTCCATGTTCCACAGACGCTGCTCCCAGCTGCCAGCCTGCTGCAGCTGAACGGCGTCCGGGATGCCTGCTGCAAGTTCCTGCTGAGTCAGCTGGACCCCTCCAACTGCCTGGGCATCCGGGGCTTTGCCGATACGCACTCGTGCAGTGACCTGCTCAAGGCAGCACACAGGTATGTGCTGCAGCACTTTGTGGACGTGGCCAAGACCGAGGAGTTCATGCTGTTGCCGCTGAAGCAGGTAACCTGCCCACAGGGCCCAACCCACACCCTGCCCCTTCCCACCCCAGCACCCTCCTTCACCCCTTGCTCTTTGTTCCCCAGGCCTCGTTCCCAGCTTCTGACCCATGCCCACCCTGTGACCTGTCGCCTGGGCACCCCCAACCCTGTTCCCATCTCCTGGCTCTACCCAGGTCTTTGCCTTGGACTCTTCATCTCATCTCATCCTTAACAGCCTCTGCTCCTAAACCCCAGTCCTGGTTCCATGTCTCCAAGACTATTTGGGATCTAGGCCCCCAGGAACCAATCCACAGCTCCTGACCCTGCTGGGCCCCTTCCTGTAGAAACACTGACCCCACCACCTCCTCCAGACCCTCCCTCCCAGGTACCTTCAGGGGGCTCCCTGGACTCGCAGGACCCTCCCCAGATCTCATGCCTGAGGACCCCTATCCCCAGGTGCTGGAATTGGTCTCTAGTGACAGCCTGAATGTACCTTCAGAAGAAGATGTCTACCGTGCTGTCTTGAGCTGGGTCAAACATGACGTGGATACTMGGAGGCAGCACGTTCCAAGAGTAAGGCCAGGCCTCGGGACCCCTTGTGGTGTTGGGGAGGGACCATGGTGGCTGAAGCCTGGGTGTGCCTCATGGAGTCCCTGGCCTCTCCCGTTCAGGGACACCATGGGGGCAGTGCAGGCATCTGTCTCAAGAACCCATCGTACAGGTGGTACAGGCATCTGAGCCAGGGTCTCAGCCCTGGGGCAAGTGTGCCTGAGGGTCCCCTGACCCTGGCACTCCTGCCTCAGCTGATGAAGTGTGTGCGGCTGCCCTTGCTGAGCCGCGACTTCCTGCTGGGCCACGTGGATGCTGAGAGCCTGGTGAGGCATCACCCTGACTGCAAGGATCTGCTCATTGAGGCCCTCAAGTTCCACCTGCTGCCCGAGCAGAGAGGTGTACTGGGTACCAGCCGCACACGGCCCCGGCGCTGTGAGGGTGCCGGCCCTGTGCTCTTTGCCGTGGGTATGCCCATCTGGCCCCTTCCTCTGACACCCCTGCCCTGGCCATACCCAACACAAGCCCAGCCCACCACATTGGTCAGGTCTTGACCTGCTCCCTCCTCCTCCATCCAGGGTCTCTCCAGGCCCTGTGGAGTGTGATCCACCCCCAGAGTCCCAACACTCTTGCTCTCAGGCTATGCTAGACTCCCACGGTTGCCTCCCAGTGCCTCTCCTCCTATCCTGTCACCTCCCCTTTCCTAGGTGGCGGGAGTCTTTTTGCCATCCATGGGGACTGTGAAGCATATGACACTCGAACTGACCGCTGGCACGTAGTAGCTTCCATGTCCACACGCCGGGCCCGAGTGGGAGTGGCTGCTGTAGGAAACCGGCTGTATGCTGTGGGCGGGTAAGCGTAGAGGCCAGGCTTGGGTCCGGGGCTTGGCACATGCCTGCTAGGCCTTCCTTGACCAGTAGTGGACCCCTCTCCTAGCTATGATGGGACCTCAGACCTGGCTACTGTGGAATCATATGACCCTGTGACCAACACATGGCAACCTGAGGTGTCCATGGGCACGAGGCGCAGCTGCCTGGGCGTAGCTGCCCTGCACGGGCTCCTGTACGCAGCTGGCGGCTACGATGGGGCCTCCTGTCTCAACAGGTAGTAGCTGGGGTTGAGGCCCCCATGACCCTGCAGGGTGGCTCGGCAGCAGGAGGTGAGGCTGTACCAAGTTGTGTCTGATGGGGGATGGCAAGGGTACTGCCTGCCCAGGCCACCAGGGTCCCCAAAGCCTCTTTACCTCAGGCCAAGCAGTTCTTAGGCCTGGTCTCTCCCCATCCCTTTTCCTTCCTGGGGTCCTCTCCTCCAGTCTAGGGCTGGGCCCAAAGGGGACACTTGCCCAGGAATACCCAACCAGGCAGCAACCCATGCCCACCCCACAGGTCCTGCTGTTGGCTATGGTGGGACTTGTGTCAGAGTCTTCGTGGTGGCCTCCTTGGGATTTCAGCTGTTCCATGGGGGAGGGCAGGTCCTGGGGCTGGACAACCTTTCTGTTGTGGCTACGGGTCAGCAGCAGTCTGGTGCCCACAGCGCTGAACGCTATGACCCCCTGACGGGAACATGGACATCCATCGCTGCCATGAGCACCCGGAGGCGATATGTGCGCGTGGCCACACTCGGTGGGTGAAAGGGCCTGCTTCCTGTGGTGCCCAYCCTCCTACCTGCACCCCCCACCCAGCAGGAGCACCAGGGTATATTGCCTTCCGCAGATGGGAACCTGTATGCTGTGGGTGGATATGACAGCTCTTCACACCTGGCCACTGTGGAGAAGTATGAGCCCCAGGTGCATAGTGCACCCCATGGCAGTCCCCCCCCCCCCCCAGCCCACTGCTGCCTGGGGGTTCCACCCTCAGGCCAGCCATTCATATCCACCCTGTCTCACAGATATCCTGCCTGGGTTAGGGTTTGCTTAGGGGGATGGGTGGGGTGCCCTTGTTGTGTCAGCCTTCAGCTCAGGCCTCACCCCCACAGGTGAATGCATGGACCCCGGTGGCCTCCATGCTGAGCCGGCGCAGCTCTGCAGGTGTGGCGGTGCTGGAGGGTGCCCTGTATGTGGCCGGGGGCAACGATGGCACCAGCTGCCTCAACTCAGTGGAGAGATACAGCCCCAAGGCCGGCGCCTGGGAGAGCGTGGCACCCATGAACATTCGCAGGTTTGCAGGCCAGGTTGGGCCGTTCTAGCCAATGCAGTAGATCAGCTCCAATGTCTCCACTCCACTGGGGACACCCAGCCCCGCCCCCGCTCCTCCCGTGGCCCCGCCCCTGGCTCCTCCAGTGGATCTTCCCCCAACCCAGTGGCTCCTCCTGTGGTCCCACCCACACAACTCATTTGGCTGCCCATCCCCAGGAGCACACATGACCTGGTGGCCATGGACGGCTGGCTGTATGCTGTGGGCGGCAACGATGGCAGCTCCAGCCTCAACTCCATCGAGAAGTACAACCCAAGGACCAACAAGTGGGTAGCTGCCTCCTGCATGTTCACACGGCGCAGCAGTGTGGGCGTGGCAGTGCTGGAGCTGCTCAACTTCCCGCCACCCTCCTCCCCCACGCTGTCTGTGTCTTCCACCAGCCTCTGACACACAGCACCCACCACAGAGAGGCCCCGCTGCCTCCCACATGCCTTAAGCCCCTSGGGTCGACCCCAGCACCTCCCTCTCCTCAGCCATGTGTCAGGGGCTGGAYGTGGCCCCACCAGAGATGTCCTGCACTGTCTTTTCACGTCTCTGCTCACTCCTTGTTCCTCTATGTGTGTGCTGTTTATTTATTTACTCACCTATGTATTAATTCGTTATTTATTGATGGATGAGCACCGCTGCAGTTACCAATTCATATGTTTACTCTCAAAGCGTGGGCACTTGTGTGCACAGGGGACCAAGTTGCCCTCCGAGTGTCCTCCACCCAGTTCCTTATTCCAGGCAGTGAGGGGTGATAGGGTGGCCACTCGCTGCAGGGAGGTCAGTGGCCCAATGGTACTCTGTAGACCCTGGGTCAGGAGCAGCATAATAACCAGAGTTGGTGGAGCGGGAGCAGGGCAGGGATTTTTAAGCAGGTGCAGACAGGTAGTCTGAACTTTGCACACTCCCTTTCCTGGCCCAGCCAGGGCTGTCCCCAGGAAGGGCACGAAGCAGGCTCCCTTCCTGCATCCTGTGTCTGCAGTGTGGTGTCTTTTCTGGATCTCACATGGGGCTGGGGCACATGTACTCAGACCCTACTCAGCAATATGAGCYATCTTGAACAATAAACACGTTTTTTGGGCTCCCTGAGCCAGAGACTAAGCGTCCATCTCTGGCCCCTTTTAGCTCTTCTGCCTTGTGGAGGTGCAGCACAGCCTGGGGTCCTGTCTGGGCTCTAGTGTGAGGTTCTGTGGACAAGTGTGCAGCATGGCTGAAAGGGAGCATTAGTGCCTGGGGACTGCAAGGTAGCACTTTTGCAGGGGGAGGCAGGGGAGGTGGGCTACTAACCTGGTCCTGAAAATTCCCTGTGACATTCCAGGTTTTGGGGTTGGGATCACTTGTGGAGGATAGGCCCTCCACGCTGCCATTACTGTCTGGGCACCTGGGAAATGTGTGACCTTCTTGCATTTAGTTAAGTCTTGGGGACTCTGACTTAGGCTTGGAGTGAGGGTTGGCCCCAGGCTTCTGGCTTCCCCTTCCCCATGGTTGCAAACTCCTGCTTCTGTGGCTGAGGGTGAGTACACTCTTGATAGTTCCTAGTGACTCAGACCAATTGGGATAAGCATAAAAACCGGATGTGTGCTCAGGTTGGGGGGTGGGCAACTAGAAGGGAAGGTCACTGGATTCCTGGGCTTTAGTGCCCAGTCACCCCCAACCTGAACACAGGCAGGCGTGGTGCCCACAGAGCAGGCGCTGCTGATGCTCCTGGGAGGCTGGAAGCTCTGGTCCCCACCTGAGGAGATGCGGTGGAGAAGAACCCAGCCCGGGTCGATTGGGAGGCTGGGCTCAGGTGGAGCCCAGCCCCTCCCAGAAAGGCTCCTCCCCCCACCCCTGAGTAGGCGGGAAGCCGTCCCACAACCCCGCCCGCTCCTGGGAGGCGGGGGCAGGAGGATCCCGACCCAGGGACCCAGACCTGTCTGCCGGCTCGGTCCCAGCCAGCCGCCGCTGGGACCCATGGGGAACAGCCACTGCGTCCCTCAGACCCCCAGGAGGCTGCGGGCCTCCTTCTCCAGGAAACCCTCGCTGAAGGGAAATAGGTGAGAGGGGCGGCCTCGGCCACCCGGGAACACGGTCTCCCTCGACCCGACCGAAGGCCGAGTCCCAGACCCCCTTTCACTCGTCCCCAGAGAGGACACCTCGAGGAAGCTGGCGGGCCTGTTCGGCTCCGAGGCTGGCCCCGACGGGGACGCGGCGGCAGACAAGATCTTCTACTACATCCCCGGGACGGTGAGCCGAGGGCGTGTCCCGCCGGAGCGGCAGCTGCCCGCGGTGTCGAGGCGTGGAGCGCCCGGCCGGGGTGGCGAGGCCCCCATCTGTCRCCAGGCCTGGGGTCTGAGTGCAGCTCTGCGCTCTCTTCGGTGTCGTATGCCAGCGCGTGCGTCGCGGTTTTGCACAGCTAAGGGTCATCCCAGTCAGCTCAGGGGATTTAGATCCAAAGGGAGGTGAGGAAGTGGACACTGCCCCGCCCTGGGAAGCTCATCCGCCGAAAGTCTAGCCCAGAACGAAACCCAGACTGGGACTGAGTCAGTGGTGAGCCGCGCGCCTGGCCTGGGGGCGGGGCTTCTCGGGGGTAGGCGGCGCCGCTTAGATCTCCAGCTCACCCGGTGCAGCGCTCGCATCTCAGTTGCAGTTCTTTGGGTGGTGTCTCTTGAGAAAGTAAAGGGTTTCAGGCGACAGAGAGCCAGCTGGTCACCTACTGCAGGCCTTTGTTTCTCCTTCAGGATCTCGCAGGAAGGTGCTCCCAGATATCCACTGCCCACTGCAATCCTACCTATGCTGGTGYCTCCTGCCCCAGCACAGAAAGGAAGTGACCACTAAGCACTTGTTGAGGCTACTTCTCCTGAAGGAACTGGGGGTGCTCCTGTGGGACGATGGACTGGCTGAGTAGAGGAGCCCTAGCCTCTTTTCCCAACAGCTGGCACTGGTTTGGGCAGAACCTAGACTGACGCTCCCTCCTGTAGGACCCTGCCTGCAGATCTTATGCTAGGAGTGGGGGCGAGGACTCTGGGCCAGGCCTGAAGYGGCTGGCATGGGCTCCCAGAGCCTGCCTTTCTCACTGTCCCACCAGGCTGGGACCCCGTGTCATCTCCTGTCCCCTGTCTAAGGTCTCAGGGCTCTTGCAGTCAGCTGCTGGCTTCAGAAACTATGCTGCCTCAGAGAAGGGGCTACATCTCAGACCCTGACTCTCTCTGTTCAGCCCAGGATAGGCAGTGTGACCCTGGAGGGAGTCCCATGAGGCATGGTGTCCCTAGTGGTCCTCCCTTGGAAAAGGGTCAAGACCCCTTGAGCCTTGGGAGATAGGGGCCAGGGAGGGCCCTGGCCAGGCTTGGACAGCATCCATGCTTCCATCCCTACTGTAGTTCCTAGCTGTCCTTCCCGGGCCCCAAGGCTGACCTAGGCCACAGGACCAGTGGCATAGCCCTTACGGATTCATGGCCTATTTTTCCCAGAGTGTCATCTGGAATCATTTCCCACACTGGGTGTGGGTGCAAAAGGCCCCACCCAGAGGCAGAGAAGCCGGGGGAACTGTGATCTGTCTGTTCACATTCCTAGGCTTGCCCAAGGGGCAGCTTGACTTGGCCAGGACACAGCAGCCCTGCAGGTAACCCAAATGTGACCCCCAATAGAATTTGCCCCTAGGCTAGTAGGTCACAGTCCTCTCCAGTCCCTTAGCACCTGACTCCTATCTGACCCTGGCTCTGATATCAGAGCCCCCATTTGTAGAGAACAAACTCCCTGCCAGGACTACCTAAGTGCTGTGTAGACATTGGCCCTTCTTCCTTCCCTTCAGCATAATGCATTAACACCCCCCCCCCAGCACGTTCCAGGCCCTGGAGACTCAGCAGTGGCAGATAGACAGGACGACTAAGTAGAAATAGAGTAAGTCAACTGTGGTCAGACAGCTAACTAGAACAGGAAAGGCTGGAATTTTAGAAGAGTGTGCAGCCAGGGAGAAGGTGAGAGCTGAGCAAAGTGGAGAGTCAGTGCTGAGTGGCCCCAGCCAAGGGAACAGCCTGATTCAGACATGTGCCTGATTTGAGAGAAAGAGAGGGAGAAAGAGTGGAGGGGCAGGTCRCAGAGAACCCTTAGTTATTGCCGTTTTTGTGAGAGAGACTGAGGCCCATGCTTGGTATGCTAGAGCAACTAGCACTTGAGCACCCAGAACTCATGTTGGTATCCAAGCAGGCTGCAGTGGGAATATTTACACCAAGGAAATTGGTGGATATTACAGATCAGGGCTTGGGTTTTTGCTTTTTTTTTTTTTTTTTTTTGTCTGTTTTTGCTTATAGAATCAGGTATTAAACATTTACCAGTTTATTGGTAAAAGGCAGGGTTTTATGCACTACCTCACCCAGACACCCCAAAACTCCTTTGAAAAGTCTGGGGAGATTGAACAAACAAAACAGAGCTGCAGAACCAGGAGGAGGTGAAGATAAGGGTTGACTCCACCGAGTCCCAACTTCTCTGTCACTGCTAGACCAGGTAGCATGGACTGGGGAGCTGTGTATGTGTGCATGTTGTGTATTCTGCCACCATTCCATGTATACAGGCTGTGTGCATCTGCCTGTGTGTGTTGTGTGGCCTGGCATGGACAGGTCAGGCCTATGTGGGTGGCTGAGTAATGAGTTGGGGTTGCTGGCCCTATCTGGCCACTCCCCAAGCCCTACTCCCCTAGGACTTTCCAGGCCTGGAGAATCAGCCRGAGAACTTGGAGCAGCCCATCCTGAGTGTGTTCAAGAAGGGGCGGCGGAAGGTGCCCGTGAGGAACCTGGGCAAAGTGGTACACTATGCCAAGGTCCAGCTGCGGTTCCAGCACAGCCAGGTGGGGGCTAGGGGGCATGCTCAGGGACCCATACCCCACCATCCTGTCTGACCCAGTCCCTCAGATGGGCATCTGCTCTCCCCAGGATACCAGTGACTGCTACCTGGAGCTGTTCCCTTCCCACCTCTACTTCCAGGCTCACAGTTCTGCAGGACTCACATTCCAGGTAAGGGGCCTGGGCAAGGGTGGGGGACAGGCCCCTGAGAGTTCCTGCAGCTGCTACTACCTGTTCTCTGGCAGGGGCTGCTGCCGCTGGTGGAGTTGAGCATCTGCCCCCTCGAGGAGACTGGAGAGCATGGCTTCCAGATCACAGGTATGTGAAGGACACTGGCCTCCTAGAAGGTGCCTCCCAGCCAGGGCCATGGATCAGTCTGCACAGATCCCTTGGAGAGGGGCCTGTGCTTGGACTCGGGGGCTCCAAGCTGGGGCCCACCTCCGCCCACACTGCTCCTCCACCCCCAGGCCCACTGCCCGCCCCACTCCTCGTTCTCTGCCCCAGTGAAGATGAGCTCCGCTGCTGGCTCTACCACTTGGAGAAGCAGATGGCCCTGGTCGGGGGGCTGCGGCGCTGCCACTCTGTGCCCCCGCAGGTCAGTGTCAGGAACCTGCCAGCCCCTCCCCCCTCTTTCCCTGCCAGCCTACTCTGATGGCCTCCTCCACAGGGCCCCTCAGGGGATGAGCTCCCCTGGTCCCTGCAGCGCCGTCTGACCTGGCTGCGGAGGGCATCTGGGCGTGAATCTGTGGGCAGTGCCATCTGTGCCTCAAGGGTCAAGCTRCAGCACCTGCCTTCACAGGTGGAGGGGATGTGGGGCAGGTAGAGGGGAGGTGGGGCAGCCCCTGGTGCCCAGCCCCACCCATGCTGTCTTTTGACCCCTTGCAGGAGCAGTGGGATCGGCTCCTGGTCCTGTACCCCACATCCCTGGCCATCTTCTCTGAGGAACCAGATGGGATTGCCTTTAAGGTGGGCCCTCCGCAGGGTGGACCTGCCCAGGGAGGCATGCTGTGTGGAGTGGGGGCGGCAACTCGGGGAGAACCTGTATGTCCAGGCCTGTTGGGACAGAGCACAGGGCTCCACCCATCTGGCTCACTGCCTGGTCAGTCTGGTCTCGGCTCTGAGGTGAAAGAGTTCCTCCCTGGAGCACCCTCCTCATCCTGAAGGGCCCTCAGCCACCAGCCAGATYATCGCCCTTGGGCAGGTGGCATGAGGTGGGACCACTCCTGGGAGTCATTGGTATGTGCCCCCGCTGCCTGATGGGCATGTGCCTACATGCCAGTGAGCATGTCACTGGTGTACACTGAGGAGACACACAGGGGCTTCCCTGCCTGGGGGTCCGTCCCCATCTGCTATGTGAGTTGGTGAGCAGACCTGGGTGAGGATGTGCCCAGGACAGACTCTAGCTGCCCCGCTCCCTCAGGGAACTGGCCTTGGTGCTGGACTGTCTGGGTGCCCAGCCCAGCTCTGGAAGACTGGGGGATGGGGCCAGGCAGGGACTGGGGCTGCTCCCAGGAAGGCCTAGGCCTCACTCACTGCCCACAGGGGGAGCTGCCACTCACTGCCATCCACATCAACCTGGAAGAGAAGCAGACCCGCTCATTCCTGATCTCAGGTCGGTTCTGACCCAGACTCTGCCCCTGCCTTGGGGCCAGGGGGAAGGGGGGTGAGCCTGGTGGACAGCCCAGCTCTTTATGGGAATCTGTGGGGTACACCTGTGCTGCCAGGCCCCACCTCATGGAGTCTGTGTACAGGCCGACTCATCCATACCATCCGGGTGCTGTGTGCCAGTCATGAAGATTACCGCCACTGGCTGCTCTGCCTCCAGACGGTTTCCAGACAGGATGGGGGCCCCCTGCTGCTCGACCCTGAGAGCTTCCCAGGCCTGCAGGGGCCCACACAGGTGAGGGGCAGCAAAAGTACCTTGGCTCAGGCCCTGGGGATAGAGGGGTGGGTCCAGACATGGGTGGGTGGGGAGAGGGATGGGCCACCCAGCTCATCCCCTGACTGCCCAGGTCACAGGTGGTGTCCGAGGCTCACTTTCCTCTGATGGACGCACCAGCTGGGATTCAGGGTGCCCAGCGCCCCCCTCCAACCGCACCAGCCACTCCCTCCCTGAGTCCTCAGTGCCGTCCACTGCAGGCTGCCCTGCTCCTGCCCAGCCTGCACCTGTGAGTACCTGGGGGAATGGCTGAGGAAGAGGGGTAAGAAGCATGAGGCTTCTGTGTGCCTGGGAGACTGGTTCCCACGCCTCATCAACCTGAGCCTGGACCCTGGTTCCTGGGTTGGGGGGACTTAGACTGGAGGGAGTGCCATGGGGCCTCAGAGGACTGAGTGGGAAGGGCCAAGAGAACTTTCTGGAAGGTTTTGGTCCCCCACAGGGCCAGCCCAATTCTGAATCTGACTGTGCCAGCATTGGCCAACGGAGAGCAGATCTGAGGCGCAGCAGCCGGTCGAGGGGCCAGGCCCGAGGGGAGCTGCCTGGTCCTGCCGTACCACCACACTTGCATCTGGACCTGACCCAGGTGGCCCAGCCCTGCAGGGTGGCTTTCCCTCCTGCCCTGCCTCCCGGCCTGGTCTCTCAGCCTGGCTGGGCCTGCAGCTCCCAAGGCCTCTCATGCAGATAGAGGTTCTGCCTCTTCTAACTCCAGGACTGTCTCTTCTACACCTTGGTTCAGGTGGGCAGGCTGGGCCTGGAGTGTGGCCCAGAGGCCCCAGAGCAGCCCCTGGAGGCACCACACTCCCCGCTGTATGCTGATCCCTACACCCCACCTGCCACTTCCCATCGCAGGATCGCAGACATCAGGGGCCTGGATGAGGTCAGTGGCCTGCGGGTGACAGGGCTGAATGTGCCACAGCCTGAAGTCAGGGAGATGCCAGAACCTGAGGTTTGCTCAGGCTCTGACGGGAGGCTAAGGGGGTGCCTGGGGCAGGGATCCCTGTGCTCCCTGGTGGCCCTCCCCCAGGGCCTCACGTTACCCACATTCTCCTGGCAGTTCCTCAGTGCAGCACGAAGCTCACCTGCACCAGAGCCTTCCAGCCCATTCCCCTTGGTCCCTGTGTCTGTGCCTGTCTCTGACCCCTGCTCTGGACTCTCCAGCTCTCCTGGCCCCCCAGCTCCCCATTTGGTCTCCAGGAAAGGAGCCCTGCAGTCCCGAGCTTCTCGGAGACACCGGGGCTCCATCAAGGACCGGGGTCCACAGCCCCCAGATTCCCCTCAGCTTGTGAGTAGCAGCCCCCACTGTGGGAGGAGGAGTGAGGAGGCCCAGTCCCTGGGCCCAAAGGGTGCTGGGCAGACCTAGAACTTAGACCTAGAGAGAGAAGCAGGAGAATGTGGGGCAAGCAGGACCAGGAGACAACGAGGGGAGGGTTGTGGCAGGTTCTAGGCTGATCTTTGTGCTCCCTTCCCGGGGATCTGCCCTGCTCTCAGACTTGTGGTTTGGGGTTCCCAGGTCTCCCCTGCCAGGGAAGTGTCACCCAGCCCTCTGCCACCTCCCTCAGGTGAGTGGGTTCCTGCCTCCCTGGGGGTAAGTAGGAACCAGGATGTAGCTTCCTGCAGGCTGATGGGTCTCTGCCCTCCCTCCCAGATGGTGACAAGACTTCATCTTCCTCCCACCAGAAATGGCCACGGCTCCGAAGGCTTGAGGCAGAAGGGGGGCTCATCCAGTGGATCTGATGGCCCCCGGCCAGGGCTGCTTGTCAGAACCACAGTTGTCCAGTTCTGACCCTGGAGAGGGACCTGCAGTCACCTCATCTTTTGACCCATGTCAAATCCCCAGCGTGGGTCTGACCCCAGCAAGTCCAAGGAGTGTCCAGGACCTGAGGGCAGATGGGTAGCAGCCGGAATGGCTAAGAATAGGCGCCTCATCCCTGGGGACACCCTGGCTGTGTAGCTGACCACAACCCAGCCAGGGTCTTCAGGGAGGTGCTGAACATCTGCAGATGCCATCTGCAGCTCTGCCCTCAGGGAGGGGACTTAACCTGGAAGTTGGGGGCCACATGGATGTGCAGGACAGAGGGCTAGGTCAGRTTGGCAGGGTCTGAGTGTGTGAGGTTGGACATGAGGCTCCTCAGTCTCCAGGTGTGAACCGGCACAGGCAGAGGCACGAAGGTGTCCCTCAAAGTGGGCCGGGGTGGGGGTCAGCGCTGGGGTGTATGGATGGGGCTAGTCAGACACCGATGCCATAAACAAGGAAGAGAGAGGAGATTTTATTGGTGCTGTCTACCTGTGTCCTCCACCAGGGAACCAGGAATCTCCCAGCATCCTGAAGACCCTGTGCACACTGCCCTGGGCAGACCCCCTGCCACTGCTCTGCCACCTCCGGCCCCACTCACCTTCCCACCCCATCTCTGACCCTCTCAGCCTTGACCTCCACACCAGCTGACCCAGGGGAGCAGGGACAATTCCAAGCCAAGTCCTCATGGGTGAGGCCACCAGGTTCGGCCTGAAGCCTCATCCCGGTCTCCTCAGAGGAGCCAAGGTCCTGCCCCATAGACTCCCCACCACAGGGGCCGCAGCAACCACCGGAGGTGTCTGGGTATCTGCCCAGGTCTGCCCACCACCACTACCTTGACCACGTCCTTGGGGGCTCAGGGTTCAAGAGGCTCTTGTGAGCAGGGCAGATGCCCTAGAACTTGCCCCTAGCTCCTATGGCCCCTAGCATCCCTGTCCTGACCCCACCCCAACCCAGCACTGCCTTGCCCCTCTCTGCCACTCCTAATTCCAGTATCTTCTCCTGCCACTTCCCCCCAACCTATAACCAGATGAAACACAAKGCCCAGTTAAGTTAGATTTCAGATCATCAACAATAATTTCTTAGTGTAAATTTATCCCAAATATTGCATGTCTGAAATTCAAATTTAACTGGATGCCCTGTGCTTTTCATTTGCTAATTCAATACCCTATTAACTAGTTCCCTGCTCAGTCCCTACCCACCCAGAATTCCAAATTTCCTTCCTCCAAAGGGAGGGGAGCGGCCTCAGCCCCAGGCTGGGCCTCAGGTGGAGTCCAAGGGAGCCAGCCCCACAGACGCTGGCTCCCTCCTGGACGCCCTGGAAGACAGGGGTCAGAGGGCAAGGAGGAAGGCAGCACCTCCTGGCACCATGCTTGTCTCCTGTCCTGCGTCTTCGTGGTCCAGGTCTGGCTGCTAGGAGGTGGGACTTGGGCTGCGGCTACAGCTGCGGCTGGGACTGCGCCCTCGCCTCACACGCCTTCGGAAGTAGCGGATGGCAGAGATGGTGCCAAGGTTGGCCAGCAAGACTGAAAGAGAAGCACAAGGTCTCCTGGTGCCGGCTCCTGCCAGTCATCCCCTTCTGGCCACATGACTCAGTCCTCAGAGGGCAGGACAAGGCCAGCGGGACAGAGCAATGGGGTGGAAGCCGGTGGGCAGGGGAGAAGCAGGGCTGGGGAGAACCTGTGCCTCCAGCGCACACCTCCTCCCTCGGTGCACACCTCCTCCCTAGGGCCCAGGTGAGGCTGAACAAGGAAGCCCCTCCTTCTGACTCCTAGGCACAAGCTCTCTCTGTCCCCAGAGCCCCACACCTGTTTTCCAAGCGTCCGGGGTATGTAGATCTGAGGTTCTCACAGCCCAGGTGGCAAAAGCCACAAACACCAGACACATGTCCTTCTGACTGAAGGGAGAGGAGGCCAGGGGACTGCAGAGCTCCCCTAGGAGAGAGAAGTACACCAGAGCTTGACTGCTGCACCCCGAGACACGCCTGCCAGGACACGTCCACCCTGGGACATGTGTACCCGAGACACASCAGTCCTAAGAATCACCTGTGCTGCCATCACCTGCCTCACTCAGGCCCAAGTCAGAGCACCCCCAGGGGTACCTATCCTGCTAGAGGTGATTTAGACATGGGCTTTCCCGGCATTTGGGCCTGGACTCAGGTCAGACCCCTGAATGGCCATGGTGCCTGGCCTCAGCCGCCCCATGTGGACTCTGTCCTGGGATTCCTGGAGCTTGCCCTGACCTCCCCACAGGTTCCCAAGGCCCCCCCACCCAGAGGCTGGTGACCCAAGATCATGCTCCCTCCCCACCCCCATAGCCCTTCTGGCTGGGCTCCCTGGACAGTGTGTTCCCAGACCTGGATGGACTTAGGGCCTAAGCAGAACGCACCTGCCCGCCTGACTGCCAGGCTGAGTTGTTCCACTGTGGCTGGGCTGGGCTCAGGCGAGATCCTGGGCCCCACTTCCTGGGGGTGCTCTGAGGCCCGCAGCTGGAGAAGGGATGGCAGCACACCCCCAAACCCATCCTCCTCCAGGAAGTGTTCGTAGGCCTCAGGGATAGAAATGGGCACCGGGTCACCAGGGGGTGCCACTGGCACAGCCTCGACCCTCGGGGGCGGGGCTGCAGCTGGGGAACAGCACCCCTGATGCTGGGGCATCTGGCCCTGGAAATCCCGGAAGAAGAACTCGCATGTGTCCGGCCACTGGACTTCGCCTAGTGCCTGGCTGGCTCCCTCCTCTGCCACACTTTCGTCCTCCTCCTCAATGGTGTCACAAAAGAAGAACTCATAGGCCTCTGGGAGGGTTACTGCATAGCTGCTGCCCAGTCCAGGCCTCACCGAAGCAGAAGGGGCAGGGGGCGGCAGGTGCTTGAGGATCCGTGGCTGGGGGGGCCGGGGCCCGACTGCCACAGCGTTCCAGGCTGCAGACCCCTCATGGCCCCCCATTGCCATTCTGAGGGCTGAGGGCCGGGGTGTGACTGGAGAGGGTGGGCCCTCGGCCCCTGCTGACCTTGGCTTCTCCGGTCTGGGCACTGCCATAGAAAATCGTACCTTCTTCCTCTTGGGAGCCTGCATGGGGCCCTGCAGGGGCTCGCCCTCAGGGGGTCCTGGGGTCCCTTCAGAGGGCTGCTCTCTGGGCTTCTCTTGGGGTCCCCCAGGAGGAACCATCACCTCTGTCCCCACAGTGTCAGACCCTGCTTGGGGGACAGGGGCCCAGGAGGGCTCAGCAGCACTGGCTCTGGGGGCAGGTGTGGATACAGGTGCTTCAGACTCAGCCTTGGAAACAGAGTGCGGCAGAGCTGTGCACGGCAGGGCCACAGAGACAAGAGTAGAGGAGTCCACCACTGCTGCAGGCAGGTCCACACACACTCTTGGTGTGGAGACAGGTGTAGATCCAGTCTGGACACGCTGAGGCTCAGAGGCAGATGTAGACATGGCCGTGTCAGGTTGAGGCTTGGAGGCAGGTGTAGATAAAGCCTCATCAGGTTGGARTTTGGAGGCAGGTGTAGACAAATCCATGTTGGGTAGACTTTCAGAGGGAGATGTAGATGAAGCCATGTTGGGTTGAGGCTTGCATGCAGGTGTAGACAAAGCCACATCAGACTGAGGTTTGGAGACAGGCACAGACAAAGCCACATTGGGTTGAGACTCAGAGGCAGGCATAGACAGACCCACGTTGGGTGGAGGCGCAGAGGCAGGTGTAGATGAAGCCAGGTCAGACTGAGGTTTGGAGGCAGGTGTWGAGAGAGCCACATCAGGTTGAGGCTCAGAGTCAAGCACACACAGATTCGTGTTGGGTTGAATCTTGCCAGCAGGTATAGACAGACCCATGTCAATTTGAGGCTTGGAGGCAGGTGTAGACAGAGCCACATCTGGCATAGCTGGGGAGACATTTGGGTGGGTTTCCTGAACAGACATGGATACCGTGTGTAGCTCAGCTCTAGGAGTTATTCTGATCTGGTCTGTACCTTGCTCAGTGACAGGCACAGGGGTACACAGACCCCAGCCTGGCCCTGGACGGGCAGCATGCTCAGGGGGAAGAACACTCAGCTCCGGAGCACCTGCAGAGTCTGGCTCCAGTGTGTCCTSCTGGGCTCCTGCTGTCAGCTTTGCTGCCGCAGCCACAAACCCCTTGCCCCTGGACCCAGCCAGGCCAGTGCCCTCCTCAGGCCTGGTCTCAGTGGRCAGCAGGGAGCCCAGATGGGCAACAGCAGGGCCTGGGGCTCCTGAGCGCCCTCCCCCCTTTGCACCCACAGTACGTCTCTTCTTGCGCCCAGGGCTCCGTGCTGGGGCTCCAGGGCTGTCGGGGGGTTTCTGGGAGGTGGGGCTGAAGCCAGGAGACTCGGGACTCCGAGGGGGCTCACCAGGGGGGCAGGGGGCCGGGCCCTGCAGGAGCCTCTGCATCTCCTCTCTGGAAGCTGCTGACCGTGGGAGRACTGAGCACTGACCGGGAGGGGCAGCACCTGAGCCAAGGGACAGAAGAGCTTCTGACTGTGCGGACGTGCCGGCTGCCTGCTGACCAGGTCCCAGAGCCAGGACAGGCTCACCCTGAGACCTTCTGACCAGCTGTCCTGTGGCCACGGCGTCCTCCTCTTCACAGCTCTGACAGCCCCTCCTCCTGGGAGCAAGCTGCCCAGTAAGAAGGGGTGGGGGCCYAGGGGGGCTGCTGCCACTGCTGTCCCCTTGGTCAATATCACTGGACAAGAGCTCATCTCCAGAGGCTAGGCCAGCCTGCAGGAGACCACACTCATCAGCAGTGGCAGAGAACTCAGCCCAGTCCTGGTCACTGAGCTGGACGCTGTACTGGAAGTTGTCCATCATGGGTCAACAGAGGTGCTGGAGAGGCCGCAGAACTTGGGGCCGGGTGGAGTCTTCACAGGTCCAGGCTCTGGGCACCAACCTGCTCACCTGGCTACCACCCCACCCACCCCAGGGGTGCCCCCCTTCTCCCTGGTACACCATCTCCACCCTGAAAGAAAGCAAAAACCTTTCTTCTGAATTAAAAAAATCCTCGGCTCCCACTTGCCTGGTCTCCTAATCATCTCTAAATGGTAACTTTATCACAACACACTGCCACCTTCCTGCAATCAAACTTGACCCTGGATTCGTGGGTAAACCAGCATTCATGGCATTTGCCTCCCCCCCCCCCCCAGCAGCCTGAGCCCTGCTCAGCAGCCTCTCTGACCTCCTGACTGCCTCCGCTCCCTCAGAGCAGACTGCACCAGGACAACCCGCCAGGGATCAGGGCCCGGAGATGGTCAGCCCTGGGCGGTCCCAGCATGCTCTAGTTGGCAGCAGGTCATAGACTGGAGGCTGCAATGTCCAGGAGGTGACCAGCCTTGGGCAATGACCTTCACCAGCTTCGGCTGGGACAAATTCCTCTGAGCTCACCAAGGTCAGAGCTGGCTCAGGGGTCAGCAGGAAAAGCTGGGGCTGGATGTCACAGAGCAGAGCTGAGTCCCTGACCCCCGATGGCCCCTCCCGTGATCCTCAGGATCTGCACCCCTGGCTGAGTTCACCTGAGCTGGTGAGAGCCAGCCTCTGCCTCCATGGGGGCTGCTCTTAGGCTCTTGGTGAGACACTGCCAGACCCAGAGGAAAGGAGGTCACTGGCCGGGACAGTCCTGAGCCAAAGCTGCCTGGAGACCAGAGTAGGGTGGCTCCCTGCCCACTGACTCGAGCCCTCCTCTCTGCCTGGGGGCTGTCTGCTAATGGGAGCCTTGGACAGGAGTGTGGGGCTGATCACCTCCTACCTGGTCTAGGCAGCCAGCCGGGCAGTGGGACTGGGAGTTCACACCGCCCATTCCAGGGCAGCATGGTGCTCTGCTCTCCCTGCAGGCTCCACCCCTACTGCCCAAAATACCTCATCCCTGGGCACACATGACTCGTGCCAGTCAGGGCTCAGGCCACAAATAGATGGCATTTGAGGAGCCTTCAGTTACGTGATGGACATCGTCCTGGTGCAGATCCAGGCCCAGAGTTGGTGCCAGCAGAGGTCACAGCAGACTCTGGCCAGAGAATGCTGACCAGTGACCAGCCCTGCACAGGCCTCCCTTTCCCAGCAGGAGGCTGCCTGCACCTCCATCTTGCCACAAGCCTCAGGCCCCCAGCGTGTCTCCCGCCCAGCTTTTCAGATGAACCTCACCCACCCAGGGCAGGATGTGCCTCCCTGGCCGACCTCCTGGGATCACAGAGTCCCCCCGAGGCACGGCTGAACCTGATGGTGGACTTGAGAGCAGGTGGGGCCATTCTTTGCTCTCTGGGGAGGCCTCCCATCATGGGCCTCAGAGAAGGTCCGGAGGGCTGGGGGTACAGAGTGGTTTCATTCCTGACTCAACTCTTGTGGACAGACCTCAGGAAGAGTCTGGTAGGGCGATACAGAATCTTTGCCAGCCCCTGAACACTTCTCTGAAACTCCTCCGTTCTGAGAGGGGAATCAGGATGACCCTTATTCCTGAAGGTTATGAGGCACAGAGAGGGTGAGTCATGGGCACACAGCCACAAAGTCAGTGGCAGAGTTGGGTCACATGACCCTGTCCTTAACCCTGCTTCAGCTGCAGAGCAGGGGCACCCTCCAGGTCCTCGAGGGCAGGATTGGTGGCCCTTCTCAGGCCCYGAGTCAGAGGACAAGAGGAAAAGCAGGGGAGTCAGACGACATGCATCTGAACAGGACAGGGAGCAAGCTCATTCACAGGCAGCGTGTTCTGGGAGATGGAGCAGGAGTACCCAGAGGAGCCCAAGGCCTCGATGAGCCAAGAGGCTGCAGGGCCCGGCAGGAAGCTGATGGCAGGCCAGGTGGAGGGTTGGCTCTTGGATCTGAGTGTGTGTGCCTGCAGGAGGTGCTGGGAAGTGGGTGGCAAGGCAGACTTCTGCAGAAGGGTGTGGCACTGAACAGGCACACCTGGGTGGGCAGCCCACCTGCTTTATCCCTAATGTAGTGCTGTACCCTTGCACTGAGAGGAGTGCCTTGGGGTGACAATCTATGCAACTAGCTACTTTTGACATTGGGGTAGTCGAGAGAAGGGCTGTGGTTAAAAATGGCTACAACTGGGTCTCTACATCCCAGTTGAAACTCAATACTATATTCCGAAAATGGACCTCAAACTTTCTGCCTCTCACCACCTGCCTGGGGCAGGCCAGCCCAACCTGGCTGGAGCTGTGAGAGGAGTCCTACCCCACCGCGCTGYGAATCTGCTCCCCAACTCCAGGCTGCTCAGGGTTCAGGAGGCAGCCATGCCAGAAGGGGCTGCAGTGGAGCGCCCAGCCGGGGCTGGCCACGTGCACATCTGCTGTGTGGCTGTCTGCCTGTGGGTGAGGTGTCCCGGCTGGCGGCTGTGCAGGCAGGACTGCTGTGAACATTCTGGAGCTTTTTCAGGAGCCCTGGGTGAGCTGTAGAAGGTTCTGCCCAGGGAGGCCCCAAGCAGTGTGCCGACACATCCCCCAATCACAGGGCAGGGGCTCTGTGGCCTCCTTTGGGCATCTGTCTCTGCCACGCCATCAAGTTACTGTGAGGGTCAAACTTCATCACTGCTGCTGTGCGGACCTGCTTCTGTGGTGCGCCCTACCACTCTGTGCCTGTGTGGGTTTGCAGTGTCTCCTGTTCCACCGTCTTTGTGCTGGGTGCTGGGATGGAAGCCAGGGCCGGCAATGTGGGCAAACCTCATTGAGCCACATCCTCAGCCCAATTAAGCATGACTTTTGATGAACAGAAGTTTTTAATTTAACATAGTACTTTTGCCAACAATTGTTGCTTAGTACTTTTTCATTGTTTTTTTTTTTTAAGTAATATCTTTATTTCATTTTTTTTAATGTGGTGCTGAGGTTTGAACCTAGTGCCTCACGCGTGCTAGGCCAGCGCTCTACCACTGAGCTACAACCCCAGCTCCACCTGTTCATTTTTTAAAGAACTCTTTGCCTGCCCCCAAACCACAAGAATATTCTTGCTTTCACACAAATCTTCATCGCTTTATCTTCCACACTTGGATCTGCAGCTGCCTGGCACTGGTTTTCCTGGGCCACGGCATACTGCTTCATGTCCGTATGGCCCTGGGGCCCAGTACCACGTCCTGCCGGGCAGGGCAGTGGCATCTGGTCACGTCTCAGAGGCACCACGTGTGTGTGAAGGAGCACACAACCAAGTCCCACASGGCCCACAGGGAGATGAGAAGACTGCAGGGATCCTGGGGCAGGATCTATCACAGGCTTGGAGAGGGAACACAGGGCCCCAGGGAGGCAGGAGGCCGCTCCAGGCTGGGGAGGGGAGCTGTGGGCAGGGCTAGAGGAGAGAGGGCCAGCAGGTTTGATGAGACAAACCTCATCGGTCAGGTGGAGCTGACCAGCCTTCAGAGGAAAGCCCCTCCTTCATTCCCATGCCCCGTGAACCTTCCTGGTGGTGGCCTGCCTCAGCACAGGGAGGAAGAATAGGCCACGTTCACGACTCAGCTCTACTGTGGAGCCTCCGTTACTGGCAGAGACAAGCACCTGGTCAGTGGGCCAAGTGACTGGGTGAAGAAGAGATGGCCAGACCTATCCAAGCAGCTGAGGGAGTGGGTCAAGGAAGAGTGCTGTACCCCTGAATACCACTAGAGGGCATCAGGACTCCTCAGCGAAAAAGACAACCTTAAAGCCACTCTGCCTGGGGTCCCTGGGTCCTGACCCCTGCCATCCAGATAGGAGAGGGATAAGATGGAGGTTCCTGGAGGATTGCCAAGCCCTTTCCTGAAACCATGTGGTCCCTTTCAAGCCCTTGAACTTGAGACAGCTCTCAAAAGCAAGAGCTAACTTTCAATGAGCCACTAATGCATTCCATGATGTCTTAAATACTCATTAAAGCTGGGCATAGTGGTGTGTGTCTGAACCCAAGTGACTGGGGAGGCTGAGGCAGGAGGATCTCCAATTCAAAGCCAGCCTCAGCAACTTAGGCCCTAGCAATACCCTGTCTCAAAATTTAAAAAAAAAATAAATTAATTAAAAAGAGGTTGGGGATGTGCCTCAGTGGTTAAGAACACTTAGGTTCAATCCCTGGCACTAAATAAATAAATAAATAAATAAATAAATAAATAAATAAGCTTGGCAAAGGGTGGGCTTCTTCCTGTTGTTCTGAAACAGTTTTACTGAGGCATTATCATGCATAATAAACTGTAAATATTTAAAGTGTACTATGTGCTAGGCTTTGACATATGAATATACTCAGAAATCATGGCCATAATCCAGAGATGACATCTCCTTTGCCCAAAGGTTCTTGTGCCCCTCTGKGATTCCTTCCTTCCTCCGAGGGAACCATCAGTCTGCTTTTCGTCACTACGAAGTGGCACATGCTTGTTCATACAGTAAGAAAGAGAACAGTATGCCYGACGTGGCCATACAGTATTATTTTGAGACTCACCCATACTACACATATATCAAAATTWAAAAAAAAATTAGTTGTAGATGGACACAATATCTTTGTTTTATTTATTTATTTTTTATGTGGTGCTGAGGATCAAACCCAGTGCCTCACACATGTGAGGCAAGCACTCAACCACTAAGCTACAACCCAAGCYCCATACCAAATTTTTTAAATGATAAATATTCTATTGTTGGATGTATCACAATTTGCTACCACTAATTAATATGTTGGTGAACATTTGGGGTATTTATAAATGTTGGCTATTACTTATAAAGCTGTTTTGAAATTTGTGTGAAAGTTCGTGTATGAGTACAAGTTCTTGTTTCTTTGGGGTAAATACCTGGRAATGGATTGGCTAGGTCATGTAGTGGCTCTGTATTTATCTTTTTAAGAAACTGCCCAGGGGCCTGGGGATGTGGCTCAAGCGGTAGC